AAAAAAAAAAAAAAAAAAAAAAAAAAAAAAAAAAAACGAGAAAGCCCCCCGCGAGCCCCCCCCCCCCGAGGCCCCCAAGACGCCCCAGGCGGCCCCCGAGAGGCCCCCAGGAGGCCCCCAGAGGCCCCCAAGGCGCCCCCGAGAGGTCCCAAAGGAGCCCCCAAGAAAGCCCCAAGAGGGCCCAAGGGGCCCCAAACGGCACTCAAGAGGCGCCCATGAAGCCCCGAACGGCTCCCAAGAGGCACCAAAAAGGCCAACCACGATATCCCAACCAACATCCATGAGGTCTTTGACCTCATGGATATCCCAACTCAGGCACCGTGGCGGGATAGGCCGAGGGCCATTCGGTAACGCACCGCCTCCTTCCGACGCCCTGGGGGGCGAAGCCAACGATGGCAGGTTTAAAACAGCAGCGCTGGCGATGACGCCCCAAATTACTCCCCGCCCCCCAATGCACTAGTAGGAGAGGGGGGGGGTCGGCGGAATGCGCCGAGCGCCGCGCGATCCTTCGTGACGCCGGGGGGCCCTGCCCAAGCGTGCAACGACCAACGCATCGCCAGCGCAGCGTCGTGCAGGGGGCAGGGCGAGGCAACTGTCCACTGCAGGAGGTCCAATACAGCAGGGCCCTGGGCACGAGCCGATTCCCCGCCAAACTTTGGAGCCAAGGGCGCGTGGCATTGCTCGAATCCTCTACCCCCCCCCCGGGGTTAATTGCAAAGGCTACAATAACTCTGGCGGGGCGCGGAACTTGCGCGCGGCCCGCCCACAGGGTCCCGTTGCGAGGCCCTCTCGGGCTCCCCCCAGGAGCTCACTGGGCCTTTCTCAAGGAAGAGGGCTCTCTACTGGCCCCCTCTTGGCATCCCACGGGCCCTTCCTTGGAAGCCCTCGGGCCCCTCATTCGGGGCCTCCACGGGCGTGCGCGCGGCCCGGCCACGGAGCCCCTCCACCGAGCGCTCTAGGGCCCCTTCAGGAAGGATGCTGGCCCCTCCTTGAGGTTTCGCGAACTCCTTCTTGGGGGTTCAGCGGGTGCCCTCTCGGCGGCCCCCAAGGCCCCCCACCGCCTCCCAGGGCCTCCATGGGCCTACGCGCGGCCCGCCCAAGGGCCCCGCCGCGAGACCTTATCGGGGCCCTTTCTGGGGGTACGTTGGGGCCTGTTTTTTGGGAGCTCTTGGCCCCCCATTGGGAGCCCCTGGCCGTTTTCCCTGGGGGGCCCTCGGGCCGAGGCTGGGGGAAGGGGGGGCCGCGGGCCAAGGACATGCGCCCTGTTGCGGGCGGCGGACAAAGGGCGGAGACCCACTGATAATCGAGACAGGGCGGAGAATCCAGCGCGATCAAACGAGTAATGCTGAATCGCAATTCCCCTGTGGTGCATTTCCCGCAGAGTCAGCATGAACTCTCGCCCTGCGCTGAACAGAGCGAGGGCCGACTTGCCATGCTGCAGCGGCAGAGGATCTTTGAGCGCAACTGCGGTGTGCGCCTCGCCTAGCGCATCCACAAAACGAACGAAAGCCTGCTGCGCCAAAAACTCGCGCGTGGCTCTCCCTTTTCGTAACGGGAACCAAGGCCGAGGAAGAGGCAGCCTTGTACCTCTCCGTCGCAGAGAGGGGCGTGCAATCGGAACTTTAATGACAGAGCGCAGGGAGTTCTCCAGCAGCCGCAACAACCGAACGCACCCTCTCAAACAAGTAAGCCTCCAGGGGACGAAGACTCTCCGTTGCCCACTCCCCCCTGCGCCCATTCCGCGAATTGCGGCCCGGAGCGCGGGCGCCGCCCGCACACGACGCTGCGGCAGCGCATCAACGGGATAACCGTTGGAGGTGCTGGGCAGGGGCTGGGCTCCGAGAGGGAAGCCTTCGCTGTCTCCACCAGCAGGGACAACTTCTCTGTGTGCTTCTCCTTCTCCAAACACACCTTGCAATAATGCCTAATCAACTCCACAACCGATTTGCCAGCGCCAGGGCCCGACGCGTCTGATATCATGAGACGCTCGAGCCAAAATGCTCGAGCCAAAACAGCTACGCGATGGAGGCACCCCAGTCGATGCATTGCCAACCCGTGGGCCCCAATGACTGACGCTGTAGGCTCCATGGGGTCTCCTCAAAAGGCTCAGCGTACGGGGCGGGGAAGGCACTGTGCAATATGTTGCGCGCGGCGCACTGGAGACAATGGCTATGGTGCCCAGCGCGGGGCGCAATTCATGATGCCGGAATCTACGGGGCGCACCTTCTTCCCAGGGACAAGCTAAGGGGTGCCAAACAGAAGCTGCCGCCAATGTGTTGCAAATGCAGGGGGCAACCTGCGAGATGCAATCTGCGGGGGGTGATCCCCGTGCAATTCATTGCAACAGGCGTGCCCTACGGGGTAACATAATGTACCAACCATGGGGGCCAAAATGACGAGCGACAGCCATCGATCACCACAGGGCACAAACAATACCAACCCGAATTTGTAAAATGCAATGCGCAAGCCCCCGGGCACGGGAGGCAATGCACCTGCCACAGGGCACTCGACACATAGCACCAACCATAAGGCACATATCGCGATCGCTGCGCGGCGCCACCCATACAGCCCATAGGGGCACGAACTTTTTGTTTCTCCAATTCAGCAGCGCAGCGAAAGCTGTACACAATTTTGACTCCAAGCGCCGGGATAACTGCCCGAGTTTCCGCCCCATCGACGTTCACTCTGGACAAACCTACGCAAACAAAAAGAGCTAAATGTGACAAGCTTCGTCGGGGACGGGCCTAAAATCGAGGATAGGCCGGTGCACCCAAAATCGAAACTGCGGCCCGCAAGCGCGGTCCGCAAACGCGGTAACACGCAACGAAAATGTCACGAATTACGGCCCGCAAGTGCGGAAGGAGGAGGTGGAGGAAGAGGAGGAGGAGGAGGAGGAGGAGGGGGAGGAGAGCGAGGGGAGAAGAGAAATACACGACGTACCGCAATGCATCCGCCCACGGCCTTCGACGTCCAGTGAGGGCTCATGCAACCCAGGGCCTACCCAGCCGACCAACATAAAGCCTACATTAAGCGAATCAATGCAACCACGCCTGGAGCCAGAAGCACCATGCTACAGTACCCGTGCAGAGCAAGAGGAGGTGGAGGAGCAGGAGGAGGAGGAGGAGGAGGGAGTGACAACAATCACCTGGGCCGAGCCCGCGAGGGCTGGCGCTCAGTGAGGGGAGATCCTCACGAAAATGTCGCACCGAAATGAAACACGAAATGAACAACAGCGAACTACTTGGAAATCCGAGCATGCAGAGGGAAGGAGACGCAAAGAGGGGGGATAGAAGAACTGAGCCTGCAGCGTGCACCCATCAAACCTCCACTGGGCATGGGGCTGCCTGATTCGGGGGGGAGCGAGGAAGAGACAGGCAGAGGAGGCGGAAAGCCGGCCCACCCCAGCAGGGCAAGCCGGAGCTACGCCTCCGGGAGGCAAGAACGGGAGGACAGAGAAGAGGGGGGAAGGATGCTTCAAGCGGGCTGTGGATGCTACGAGGGCGTCCTCGTGCCGTCCAGCCTCCGACTGTCTCGCAGGAGCGATCCGAGAAAGCCAAAGCCGATCATCTAGGACAGGCTGGGTCGAGAGCTGTGCCAGACTTCGAATCCCCCAGCCAGCCTGGACCAAAGAGCACGGCGACTCCGAGCGGGAGGAGGAGGGGGAGGAGGAGGAGGAGAACAAAGAACGCACGAGCTGGAGCGGGCTGTAAGACAAAATGTTGCCAGCTCGCTCCTGACTTGCACCGGGGCCCCCAAACAACCAACAAAAAACTGCCATAGCCCCGGACTCGGGAGCTCGCAAAGCAACCGCACACGTAGCAGGGCTGTCCTGCGAACGTGGCCGAAACTCTGGGGCGACACTCTGAAACAACTACACCGCGAGCGCAATCCAGGGGGGGGAAATTCGTAACGTTTCCCCCTTCCCCGCAGCGCCGGGAGAAGTGCCAGCCGCGCGTGTGGGCCGCCGTTCTGCGCCTCTGGTGCCACGGGTGGTGTACGAGCACACGCTTTGGCGGCAATGGCCCTTGCCAGTTTGGATGCCGCGCAGGTCAAGATAGCGTTCGCCACCTGGCATTCTGCCCAGTCGTGCGCGCCCTTCCCGGCGCCTCATCCCCCCCAGCCGCACTCGCCCTCGATTGTTTCTTGAATTTGGGCGCTCAGGGGGCTGACCCAGCTGCCATTGTACAGTGGGCTCTCCATGTCTACAGCCTTTACCGGGTGCACAATGCACGTCGGCATGGGCACCTGGATGTCGCAGACATCGCAGGAGCTTACCGTGAGTATGTGCGCGAAGGGGCCCGGGGCAGAGAGCAACTATCGGAAGAAATTGTGGTTGCTCATGCTCGCTAGCTTCCTCTCTCCCTCTGCTCTTTGCTTCTCCGTCCTCCTCCATAGGGGCACGAACTATGGGGCGCCATGAGGCACCGCAGGACGCCTCAGGGCAGCAGCCGAAGAGCACCAGCCATAGGATATCATAGAGGGCTACTGGGAGGTCACTCGCTATAGGGCAACCGACAAACGAGAGCAACGATCGGGTACCAGAGCACACGACGAAAACGGACATAATAAAAGGGGCATTGGCGCGTACGGCCCAAATGTGCCAGAGGCCGACTGCGCAAAACAAGGCCGTCTCCTTTGAGAGCGCGTACGGGTCCAACAGTGGCGACACTGCCCGAGGAATGTCTGTGTAATCTCGGGGCGCTGGCCGCGGCGACGCACAGTCGGAATCCATGGCAGGAGCATTTCGTTCACCCCTCCCGCCTCCGTACTCGTAGCCCTTACTCTTCCTCACTCCGCCCTGTGATATATTTCCTCGTCGCCCCATCCCCCCTCCCTTCCCCGTCCCCCCTCCCCCCTGTTACCGCACCCTTTCGTCATCCATAAGTACCCCTCCTGTCGACCCCATTCCCTCCCTCCTCCCTCCTCCCTCCTCTCCTCCATCAACGTGCCTCGCCAACCCTCACCTCCCCCTCCTCTCCCCTCCCTCCTCCTCCCCCCGTGCCCGTTTCCGCGATCAAGGGCAAACCCACTGCCGAGTCAACAAATAACATCATGCACGTCATTTTGCCCGCGTGCGCAAGGGAAACTCTGTGCACTGAGCGCGCCAGGCAATCGCCCGGCATCCCGACGAGCAGGCGCGCACAAACGTTCGGAGGATCTCCGAACGACGGATGGAATCCGCCCTCCCGCGCTCGGCGCGAATGAGCGTGTGGACATACATTGTTAGCTGTTTGGTGGCGTTCCTGAACTTGTCCCAGGGTGGACCCCCCCCCTCCCCGCGCAACCCTCCAAAAAGATCGTTCCCTCAAACGGCGCCGAACATCCCGAAGTGTGCTCACGTAGGGCAGCGGTTCGGGCAGACAGCTTGGAAACCAACCCAAGAACACCAAGAGATCCTCGGCTGATGCCAAACATCACCCCGAAGGCCCCGAGAGAAGGGACCACGAAACCGCCACGAGGCGCCCATAGATCTAACCAGAACGGTCTCCTAGAAGCCGCAAGTAATGCAACACACACGGTTTGCGATTGTTTCTGCATCATCAAATCATCTTCCCAATGCGGTGCCGAAGAAGCCTCCAACATCCCCAAGATGAGCCCCGAACTCCCGAAAACCACCACAAACCGACCCCAAATTTATGCTCGTGGCGATGTCCCCGTTTCTGGCCGCGCTCTTACTCTGAATCCTGATAGCGTGCCCTGTCGGCGCACCTGATCCTGTTAAAACGCTTGCCCCTCCAAGCCTAAAGGTCATTATCAATAGTTCGCTCTGACTCCTATTCCTACCCCTGTCCCCGTTTACACACGTGCTCCTCGTAATCGTGCGCCCCCTGCTCATACTGGTAATATCCTACTCCCGCTCCTACGCCTGCTCCTACCTCTTCCCATGCGCGCACTTGTAAAAATACTCTGTGGCTGATCAAACGGGCACGTTTTCCTGTATTGACGACCTACTATTGCCCCTGCTCCAAACACCTCCCTCCCTTGCTGCCCCAATCCCTCCCCCGCCCTTCCCTCCCTACCCCTTTCCATCCCCCGTGACTCCCCTTTCCTCCCACGCTGTCCCTGCTCGTTTCTTCCCCCATCCTCTCTTGATATTTCCGTTTTCTTCGAGCGCCCATGACGGGGGACCTCCGAAACGTGAAAAAGACCCGACAGGCGCAACGCGCCGCGCATGCCACGGCACGGCGCGGCGCGCATGGGCGAGGCCTCATACATGCGCAAACAGGAGGCCGCATGCGCGGCAGCAACAGCGCAACGCCACGCACGCGGCGCCACGCAGGCCGCGCGCACGGCGCCGCGCACGTGGCACCGCACGCAAACACCGCACACGTCGTGCGGCAACACGCACGCGGCGCCATTTGCACGGCACCGCGCCGGCACGCAGCACGACGCGTATCGAACTGTGCACCGCGCGCAAAACACGCACGCGCAGACGAAAGTAGCACCGCGCAGCGCCGCGCCCACAACTCCAGGCGCGCGACGCCACAAACTAGACGCTAGCTGCACAAGCGGCGGTGGGTTCACGTCACCGCGCGCGCGGCGCCGCGCAGAAACGACGCGAGCTCAGCGCCGAACGCGCGGCGCCGCGCGAACGGCGCCGCCCGCGCTGCACCGCGCACGCGGCACTGCACGCCGCGCAAAAGCCCAACTTGGGGGTGCGCGTCGGCGACGCGACAGCAGCTAGCGAACAACTTAACAACAAATATTCAAACCAAACAAAAAAGAGCGGAACAATTGCAAACTCGTTGCCAAAATCCGCTTGGGGGGCGGGGCTTCATGGCGCCTTGCGGCCCGCGAGCGGAGCTTCCAAGGCCACCTCGCGAAAGGCAGCGGGCGCGCGCGCCGCTACGCGCGTGCGCTGGCGCGTCGCGGACCTGGAGCACAAATCGCTTATGCTCCAAGCAGCGTGCGTAAGATGGCTGCTTAGTGGCAGCAGCCGCAATCGCCCATGCGTCGTAGGCGAAGTGGAACTCGGCCCACGACGACGCGCGCTGACCTTTACTGCCGCGCTCAGCCGTCACTCCGCTGGCGTCTGCGTCGTCGAGCCCGTGGGCGCTCGCGGCCCAGGTCGGGAGAAAGCCGCGCAAATCAGAGTGAACGGAGGGATTCGCGCAGCCCCTCTTTCTCGCGCGTGCGACCTCGGCAGCCGTCCAATCGTCCAATCGCATTTCTCGCTCCTGTGCAAGGCAGCGACCGCTGTCACCGCCGCTGGCGCGCTCACGTGAGGGCGCGCCTCGGCCAGATCGTCTGGCTGAGGCCGTTCAACGTAATAGTCGCCAACTCAGCGCCCGCGTCTACGTGGTGTACGGGGGCGGCCATTTCCACATTGGCCTCCGCACCGATGCGAGCGTGCAGACCAGGGGGGCTCGCCGGGCGCGCTCGCGTACGCTGCCTGCTTACCCGCAGTTGTGGCGCGCTCCAGCGCGCGGCGGAGCACGCCTTTCACGCCCGCTGGCAAGCCCTCCGAGCCTGACAGCTCTTCTAGCCGAATGTTCGCCAGCTGTGCCGGCGTCAGCAGCTTATTAGCGCCTAGGCAGTCAATCGCAGCCTTGTATTCGATGTCCGACCATTCTGCCCCGAACACGGGGTCTTGGCGCAGAAAGCTCAGCAGCGGTCCGTCCGCCATCACGAGCAAAGAAGCCAGAAAACACCAGCGTCGCACTGCTCGCGCACGCGGGGATCACGCGGCGGGCCGACTGCAACGCAGTGCACTCAACGCGCGTACAGAAAGACGGCGACGCCTGGTGCCTGCAGATACCTGGTCCGCCGCTTCGCAGACGCAAAACGAACGCGCGCACCCCGAACGCGGGGGAGGAGCGGCGGCGCCGGGGACGCAGCGCGAGATGCCAGCGGAAATCTGGTCCGCTTATGGCCGTGAGCGCGGGTCACGCGTCTTACCGAGCGGGCAGGCGCTGGCCAGCTGGTCGATCCTCGCGCTTCGCGCGCGCGGCCCAAGCGGCACCGTGGCCGTCAGCTCCATCGAGGGGCTGCCTGAGGGCCCCGCGGCAGATGTGCGCCTCCGTGGCGACGATCTGCTGCGATCGCGCTGGGGGGCTGGATGCTCCCGCCGCCCGCGCGCGCGACAATAAGAACACGCAAAAGGGCCAATGTGACACGTGGTGTCCGTGTGTCCTCCGTTTCACCCTTGTTTCACCGCTTCCTGGTTTTCAGGTGTGCCCTTGAGCACAGGTGTGCCCTTGAGCAGGCGAATCGTGGAAATGATGATTGAAGTTGGTAGCAACAAAAACTATTGAGTGTGGATGGTGTGGGTGCTTTTCATCGTATCAGCAGGGCCTGCGTATTCCAGAATTTGCATCAAAACCCCGCCTTGCATGGACTCATTCCTTTTGTTCAACAATGATGCGGGGTGCAGTCTGAATTCCGATGGACCGACAACGACGGCAACACACACAATATCTTTCAAAATGATGGTGGAGAACATGACGATGCCCCCATCCAAAATTATTCTGCCTCGGATTGCGCACGGCAATGGAAACACTACAGAACCGACTTCCGCCTGGGGCACTCGTTGTACCATACCTTGACGATATTTACGTGGCGTGCGACCCGAATGACACAGCGCTTATCTTACAAACGATACAGCATGTTTTCAATGACGCGTGTCGCATTGATATACATACTGGAAAACTTCAGGTATGTGGACGACACCCACGCCCATGCCCACCATCTTTAACAACCATGGCACCCGGAGCGTGGCGATCAGACGCGCCACTACACGAGCGCGGTCTCAAATTGTTGGGCGCACTTTTTGGGAGTGACGAGTTTGTGAGAACGTATGAGGTGACCGTCGCAACAAAGAAGGATCAACTACTCAAATACCGTTCTAAGCTCCCCTCTCTGCATGCGGCGTGGTTGCTTCTGTACTTTTGCGCAATACCTCGACTCAACCACCTATTGCGCATCATGCTGGATGGGGTACGGCTTTCCACATAATGACGTACAATACGTGAGTTACACAAGCTAGACTGCCGTTGCGGCTAGGCGGAATGGGGTTGCGGAGTTCTACCAATACCACTAAAGCGGCATACTGGGCTAGTTGGGCTGACGTGCTCCAACAATTAACCATCAAATTCCCAGACGTGGCCAGAAATATCGTGTACAGGCTGACCACGCTCCAGGCTGGTGGGCATGGGGGTCCACCGTTTCTGGTTGCAACAAAGGCGGCAAATCATCAATACGACGACGCTGGGTGGAAGGACCGTCCAGCCTGGCCGGATTTAGCCGCGGGGGCGCGTCCGACTATCCCCGACGCCGCAGATACGATTCTCGGTGGATGGTGCCATGGGTGGCAGTACAACGCTTCCAACGTACTGGAACACCAACTCCATAATCGTTTGAAACGTGACCTCGCGTTGCCCAGCACGCGGACGAATGCAGCATGTCCAGGAAAAGCTAGCCTTCAATCTACTGTGGGTCGCTGTGCTGCAGGATGGTTGATCGTATCACCGACTACCGACGGACTGGCGCTCACCAATACTGAGCTATGGTGTGCAATACGGCGACGGCTTGGGATTGCAGTGCAATATGATGGGCCTGATCCCCATGGACACGCTTCACTTGCGTCTGGGGAAGGAGGAAGAACGAACAGTAGGCATCGGGAGGTCGTAGCGGCGTGGAGGCAAGTGTTTTTGGAAGCTGGCGGACTGGTTCCTGACCGCAACGTCGAGCGACAACTAAGACACACCAACAATCCAATTCCACCTCACGATCAACGGCCCTTGGACCTTGTGGTAACATGCTTAAGCGTGGCTCGGGTATACCTTTATTTTGCGACGTCACTGTGGTTTCCCCCCAAGGACAGGCACTATCAATGCAGGTGGTAGGTTGTTGCGAAATGCGGAAAGGACGAATAATAACACGTACCCGGAAGTAATTAACAATGGACTGGGGAAACTGGCGTGTCTTGGAGTGGAGGTGTACGGCAGGTGGGGCGATCAGGCAATCGATCCCAAAACTTGCGGCAGAACGAACCCGCACACTGCATCCCCGTGTACGTCGAGACGCTGCGTTGGGACTCATGCGCAGATGGTGGGGATTACTGGGCACTGCTGTTCAGCGGGCTGCTGCCGGGGGCGTCCTGAATCCTTTTGGGGACCTCCAACGGACGCAAATTGAGACAGCGCCCTGGTTGGGGGAGCTGGAAGTGGTGTAGTCCTCCTCT